AGCGGCGCGGCAGTGTGTGACGTCACACTAGTTTGCTTGTTTTCAGTTGGGGAGTTCTATCCACTAGTTCGGTTTTAGGTAGCAATTTTAACCAGAATAGGGGTTTGTTTTGGGGCGCTTACCTTTCTGGGTGCCTGTTCCGGTCGATGCCAGACATAGAATGCTTCCAACTACACGGGGGCTTCTATAGGCCATTGCTTCCCTTGCCTCTCTGAGGGGGCCCGGTTCTGGCCGTGGTCCCCGGTAGGCCTAAGAACTCCATACACATGACTGATGCCAAAGTCTGACATTAGCATATCAGCCTGGGATAGCTCCGGGGAGCCTCCGGGACTCACCCAGAAAATGGCGTTTCATTACATTCAACGCTGGTTTTTTGCCTCCGTCATGCTGCCTGTTGGGTCGGTGACACATTCGACCCTTGAGTCCTGCGAGCTTTGTTGCTTGTTCGTGACTCCATTCACCTAGTTTGCTGATGAATTCCCGTGGGTGCAGGCAGCTCGCACGTTGCAGGGTAGGATGTTGCGACGCGCTCTGGTTTGTCGCTTCCCCAGACGCCCCGATGCTGCCCCACTTGTGTAGGGACCCAGACTTGGGTGGTTTTGGTCGCTTCGGCCTTGGTTCCTTCCACGCCCCCCTTGTTTTTCCCCTTCCTGCTTCCGGCCCCTACGCATCTGCAGGCTTCGGGGTCTGCGGAGGCAACTGCGGAGGCATTCGAGTCTGTTCCTCCGGCCGATGCTCCGGGGTTTTGACCAGTGGGCCCCCTTCTCTTTCAGCTCTCTCGGCTGCCCCGGCTTTTTCTTGTGAGGCCAGGGCTTTGGAGGTCAACTCGGCCCTGGGGCCTGGTGCAGAGGCTCCTGGGGTTGGGGAGGAGCTGCCTTGGGGGCCTTGGGCTCCATTGTGCCCCGCCTGGATTTCCGTCCTTCTGAGCGGGGCTTACTGTTACGAGGAGTGGGGTTATCTTTCCCCCCTCTGCGTACGATTTGGGCTTGGGTTCTGCTCCTCCCCGGGTTCGGTTCCGTGTCCCTGTGGTTTCTTCGGTTCCGTCTTCAGGAGGTTTTCGGCTAACCGCATCTCTTCGCCTGCGGTGCGGTTGGCCTTTGCGGCTTCCTCCTGCGTGTCCCGGAGTTTGCCTCCATACTGGTTCCTTCTGTTCTGGACAGGTTGGGCTCCTTGTAGCCGTTTGGGCTCCTTGTAGCCGTTTGGGCTCCTTGTAGCAGTTTGGGCTCCTTGTCGCCATTTGGGCTCCTTGTCGCCGTTTGGGCTCCTTTGTAGTCGTTTGGGCTCCTTTGTAGCCGTTTGGGCTCCTTTGTGACCGCTTGGGCTCCTTGTAGCCGGTTGGGCTACTTCTCGCCTTGTTGGGCTACTTCTCGCCTTGTTGGGCTAATTCTCGCTTTATTGGGCTACTTCTCGTTTTATTGGGCTACTTCTCGCCTTGTTGGGCTACTTCTCGCCTGGTTGGGCTACTTTCTTTTGCGTCCTGCGCATGCGTCGTGGGAGTTTGTTTTGGTTCTGGGCGGTGTGCACACGTGTTCTGCTCCAATTCTCTCGGGGGCCTTCGCCTCTCGTTCTTTTCTTATTCCCATCCGTGCCCCGTTGCTTTGGGGGTGTTCTGGGGTGCCACTGTGTGGAATTCATGAGGTTTTTCCCTGCGTTCTAGGGTGGGGAGCCTCCTTCGCTGCTCCCCTCCTCTCCAGCATGGGCGCACTGGCTGCCTCCGGCGGATACGGACTCGAACACTTGCGTCATGGCCCTTCAGGGCCTATGTTCTTCAGGTGAGTTGGTGCGGTTTTGGCGTCTCCTCCGTCCTGACGCTGTTTTTGTTTTTGGGAGTAGGAATGGGTGTACATACGTACTTGAGAACGTGGACCGTATCACCCGAGGTGCCTACTGCAGTGCTATTAGCCCATACTGGGCAGCTCTTGTTCTCTCCACCTGATTCCTTCCTCGGTTCACAGGTGTCTGCAGGTGGCCTCTTGTCCCTTCAGAGGCGGTTCCTGCCTGTACTCCTCCTGCCCCTCTCCTATGCTTGTCTAACCTTGCTTGAGTTCGGGGCCCCGCCTCCACCTTGTTCCGCAGTGCAACGGTGGGGGTGCCTGTTTGGTAGTAAGTTTTCCTGTGTCGGAGGTTTTGTGTTTGCCTCCTTGTGTTTGCAGGTTGGGTTCTGGCTCTTTGTTTCCGCCTCTCCTCTGTCGTTTGCCTGTCGGGCGGATTCTGTGCTTCTTGGGCACTCTCATCTCTGCTGTTGGGGCTGTGTATGGGGTCAGCCCATGTTGGGCTGCCTAATGTGTTCCTTTGATTGCCTGTTACACTGCACACATTTCTTCTACCGTCCCTGTGGCTCAGTTGGGTGCTCGGTTTCCGCCTATGTCCCCTTGTGTGCCACTCGTGTTTGATTTATCTATCTTCTCTGTCGCTTCCTCGGGGAGTGTGGTGACGTTTTGCTGCGGTTTTGGTACTGCAGCTGCGTGTCGGGGTTGGTTGTGGCGTTATGTTCGGCCCTTCCGTGCTCCCTCTGGGGCTCTCCTTCCTTGCCGGTCTTGCCGTGCAGGGCCTGGTCTTTCCATGTTCCTTGGTTTCACTGTCTTGTCCTCGCCTCATTGTGCTGGCTGGGGATGAGCTTGGGGGTCTTCATATCGCCCCTCGCCTATCCTCCGGTTTCAGTTCAAGTTCCAGAGCTTAGTGGGCTCCCTTCCTTCGTGTTTTTCATGGCTGCCCCGGGGTTTTTCTTGACGCTGGGGCTTTGAGGGGACAGCTCGGCCCCGGGGCCTGCAGGGTGGGTTCCTGGGGCTGGGGTGGGGCTCACGTGAGAGGCCTCAGGCCCCGTTAGTCCCCGCCGGGGTGTTTCTAACCCTCTGGGGGGGACTTGCAGTTTTGTGGTGTGGGGTTTTCCGTTCCCCCTCTCCGCACGTGCTTTGTGGGCGTTGGCCCCTCCCTGGGCTTGGTTTCCTTGTCCGTTGTACCCGTTGTTTCCGTCCTGTCGGTGGGTGCTTTTCTACGATCTTCGCCCCTTTTTCCGGGACGGGCCTTCTTCCGTCATGTCCCCCTCTTCTTGGGGTTTCTGCATGACTTTTGGTCTCGGGTGCGATGGGGTTTTGGGGCCTTCGTCCTTTGTGTTTGCTTCTTTTTGTTCTCGAAGGTTCGGGACTGTTTTGCTCCTTCCCGTTTTCTGGTGCGTCTGTCGTCATTCGGGTGAGCTTCCCTCCGGTCCTTTCTAGGGCTTGTGGGTCCTCTTCCCAGCAGCTTCTGGGTGTTGGCCTTTTTGTTCTTTTGTGAATATCTCTTCTCTTCACACTGTCTCGGCGCTCCTAGTTTTCCTGGGAGCGATTTTGCTCCTCCTCATGAGTCTTTTCGCTCCTGCCCTTCTGCGGGATGTTGGTGCGGGGCGGCTCCTTATGCGAGTTCCTTCCCTGTTAGCTGCACTTGTGGAGGTGGTCTTGCACACTTATGGCATTTTCGTTTTGGTCCTGCGTTTTCTTTTCCCTCCTGGGGCTGTCATAGGATTGGCTTGCGGAGGATGTAGAGGCGCTTGGGGCCGTTCCAAGGTCTGGCACCTTGGTTTCTGCTGCTAGCTTTCGGTATCGATATTCCTTCTGCGCCGTTTCGCAGGTTGTATCGTGCGTTGTTACACCTCCGGCCTGCTTATGCACTGTCTGTGTCGTCCTGGTCTTTGGACAGGGTGCTCTCCTGTTTTTCTTCTCCTTGATGGTTGTGGCTCCTTGAGGTCAGGTTTGCTTTGCCTCGGTTTTCTTTTTGTGTTGGCATTCGCCTCGGGGGGCCGTGTGGCAGAGCTTCTTGCTCTTCTCAGGCGCAGTGGTTTTTGGCTCCTATTGTCGTGATCATAGGTTTTCTTTGTCTGCGGCCGTTTTCCCTTTTTTCTGGCGAATGCTATACCTTGGGTTGTTGTCTCGACTTCGTGTTGTGGAGTGATTCTCCGACCGCCTCCCAGGTATGTCCCCTTGTTTTTTAGGTAGTCTTTGGTGAGGTAGCTCCGGGGAGCCGTAAGGGCTCCCACCAGAAAACCAGCGTTGAATGTAATGAAACGCCATTTTCTGGGTGAGTCCCGGAGGCTCCCGGCACCCTCCCGCCCTCCGGTCGGCGGGTTTTTCACAGTTTTGATATCCAGCCTCAGAACTGGGGCGGGGATCGCCGACGCGGGGGTCTGGGGCTCCCCCTTCCCCCCCTCCCGGGGAGGGGGGGAGCTGCGCAGACATGCGGCGCGGCTCGCGTGACGTCATGCTTGTTAGTTCGTTTTCCTGGGGGAGTTCTGTCCACTCATTTGTCGATTTTTGTTGTTTAACCAGAATAGGGGTTTGTTTTGTGACGCTTACCTTTCTGGGTGCCTGTCCCGGTCGATGGCAGATAATGAATGCTCCAAATCACATGTGCATTTCTATGGGCCATTGCTCCCCGTGCCTCTCTGAGGGGGCCAGGTTCTGGCTCGTGGTCCCCGGTAGGCCTAGAACTCCACCCACATCGACTGATGCAAAATAGTTAGGGTATCCATATCAGCCATGGATAGCTCCGGGGAGCCTCCGGGACTCGCCCAGAAAATGGCGTTTCATTACATTCAACGCTGGTTTTTTTGTGAGCTGCTACTTTTCATAGTACAGTATGTTGCATTTGATACATTGGTTATCATAACATACCATAATGTATACAAAGAAATCACACTAACGTGATATATATATCAATGTGAAAATCCATTCGAGCACTGAGGTAACTAGAACCAGTGACCAGGGTACTTCCAGTCATGTACCTTACCCCTGAACCATGAAAATTCGTACTAGTGAAAGGTATGCTACTTGGAGTTACATATCCTGATCACTGATTTGAGTCACCTCACTACTCCCATTGATTCTCATATCATATTTTCATATTAGTTGAGATGAAGGGTTGAGAATATACTGTACCCGTAGCTACCTTTAGCTTACAACACATGATCTTTTTAAAATTAAATACTGTAATCTAAATAAAATTATGGTTACAATTTTTTCTTACAGTGAAGGATTGCTACTGCCTCAAGGTAGTAAAGTGTTGGTTCAAGGTGATCGCATTGGGACTGTTATATACTTTGGACATTGTAAATATCCATCAAGGAGTTCAAGCCTCACTCAGCACCATCTGCAAGGATCACCCATTACCAGCATAAATGAAACAGTTATCACTGAAGTTGCAGACGAGGGTTCCAAAGGGGACATTGATGAAACGTGGGGTGTGTGTGATGGTACTACTGGCAGTCTTCTTGGAGTAACTGTTGCACTCTGGCCACCAGGTGTGTTCTTTAGCAATTGTTTCTGGCTCTTTATATATCGATATTTTATATATCTATATGCAAACACCTACAGTATTATAGCATTATTTAGTGTCTTCCTAGTACCTATATGACCTGGTAGGAACAGTTTGAAAAAATTCTTCCAATACTAATAAAGAATGCTGACCTGCTCTGTCTGAACATGAGGCCAGTAGGATTTTATCTTAGAAAGCAACCAAGTGTTATGCTCAGAAAGAAGCTTTTAATATACAATACCATACTGTTAGGATACGGGAGTTCCCCCTCCCCTGCAAACACTCTCTAAACCACCTAAACCATCATATAGCTCCTGACCCAGTGATGCCATGATCAATGATGCTGCCGGCTAATGATCAGGCTGGATGAAGGTGACATCACGTGGACCGTATCGTGGCTTGGGGCAATTGGAACCTAGGTGTAGGCTAGCCAGAGCTGGGCAGTTCTGACTGTAGATTTGTTTAGGATTAGAGTTATGGGTTGAGGTTTGGGATAACTAAGGCATTTGCTGATTGCAGCTCATACTGTACATATTTGTTTATTATTTTGCACTTTTCTCACATCCAGTAATGTGCTGCCAGTCTACTGTTAAAGATATATGTACAGTATTGTCTTATAGTTATTACTTTTACGAGTGCACTTCAGTTATTTCTCTTCTCACTTCATTTAAGTTCAAAGCCTTATAACAATAAATTCCTGAGTTTAGTTCTGTTTACGTACCTATGTCCTCTACAGTGCCTTTGATGCTATCTAAACAAAGTACCCTTAAGGACTGATGATAGGCAGAGGTAGCAATACACTCGGTCTAATTTTACCCCTTGTCAGTTTTGTCGTACCATACTGATTGGCTTTCATCAGTGCACGAATGTTCTCTCTCATTTTGTAAGCGTCATCTTTCACACCTGCAGTCACATTCTCATTTTTTTCCAGCATTTGATAAGTGGATATTTATATTTCAGATCAAGTTTATTTGAAAATATTTTAACATTAAATGAAACTTGTTTCTTAAAATTAATTAATTTTCAGATCAAGGGGAAATATTTGTTCCTCTGAGTGATGTTGTCTGCCAGTTGGATGATGAAGCTGACATGTACAGTAAAGACCATATTCTTGGTCTTGACTTAGAGTATGTGGATGATGTAAGGCACTTAGCAGGACCGAGAATATCTGTTCTCCCTGATATTCATGATTGTCCCAGAGAGATGACAACAAATGAACAAGTCACTCAGTTACCAAGTGTGCAGCAGCCAAGCTCACCTCTACCTTCTGAAGTGTCTGAAGGTAATTGTGAAGACAAAAGCAGGCCAGCAACACCAGAGTGGAGCAGAATTCCTGAAGAGTTGTTAATACATAGCCCAAGTGTTTCATCCTACAATTCCGACTATGTCTGCAGTGTTCAAGAGAGTGAAGATGAAGATGTTACACCTAGTAGAAAAAATAGTATCCAGGTTCCCGAACAAGAACTCAAATCCCACGGTGGCTCTTTACAGTCAAATAAGAACTTTCATTTCTCATCTTCGACTGATTTTGAAAATATAATTCCAGTACTAACAAGCTTTAAAACCACTTGTCTTGATACAACATTCCTTAATCAAATTAGGAATGAGGAAGATATTTACAGTAAAACAAAAGACAGTGAATATAAAGTTTCTCTACATGACACTTCAGACTCTGCAATTAGTCTAACTTTTACACGAAGACCCCAGAGCTCTGAGGAAAGCAGTGAGCCCTTAAGCCTTCCTGACCCAGACAGAGACTCTCTTCACTTGGGAGACACCTGGGATTCAGGATGTTGCATGGGAAGAGGAGGGTACATAAGTGAGTCACCTGAACACTTTTCTGATAATGAGTATGAAAATAATAATTTAGGATCTCCATGGGCCCGTAATCTGAGTGAGGCGCTTGAGTCAATTTGGGAGAAACATAGAAATCTCGATAATTTTAGTCTCGATGGAAGCTGTAATGCAAAGAAAATGGACAAACCAAGAAGAGAAGCCCAACAGAGAGATTACAGTAATCATCTTCACTATCTTCTCAAAAATTCATCAATAGCTTGTCAATTTGATTCCAGGTATGTTTGGCACTGGTGTTCTTTGTATATTTTATTGATAAGAATATTACTGAAACTAATTCACATTCTTATGCAAACATAATTTGTTAACATATAATAAATCCTTTGACAACAGCCATTATAATTAAAACCATTGGGTATTATTGTTCCACATGTTGTTGCAACCTGACCCATTTCGTAGAAAAAGCTGCACTTTCTGAAGAGTAATTAAGAATCATCTAAACAGTGAACCCTTATTTAATCTAAGAATTATGGATTTGCTGGATATAGGTCCACGGAGCACTGCATCATTGGAATGCAGAATTTTGCAGCCATAATTTTCTTAAACTTGTTTTGATAATTTTTTATCCTGTAGCCAAATAGTGCTTCATCTCATGAGTTTTTATCCAGTGTATTCATAATCCTTAGGTTACATAAAAATTTTACTGTTCAGATGATTCATCAGTTGTTCCTGAGAAAATGCTGGATTTTCTCCAAGATGAATACGTCTTCAGTAATGAATATTGTGTTGCTTGATGAATACGAATATAGATATGCTCTATACTTGGTCTTGGTCTTACATTGTATCTGTTCATAAATCTTTAGCATCAAGAAAACATGCAGATCAACGCTCATTGCAGCTGTTGTATACAGAAAACAAAAATTAAGCTTCCAGATTCTAAATCAGTATTTAATTTTAGAAGTACAATACATTACAACATTATGCAAATGTAAGAAGTACATATGTAAAAAGTCTTGAAGGTTATAGTAGATGGAGAGAGTTGAGGTTCAACTGGAGTGAAAGATGGAGAGGGAAAATATATAGAAGGAAAGAATGGGGGGGGGAGAGAGAGAGGGAAGAAGACATGAAAGGAAAGGAGCAGGCAGAGAATGAGAGAGAAACAAGAATGGGAATGCAGACAGTAAGCCACAATAATGTGGTGGAAAATTAGACACCCAATCCACACATCTAAAAATGAAGGTAGTGACAACATTGTGGGATGTTGTGGACCTTTATCAAGTTGTGAAAAGAAAGAGTGGTGGAGCAAGTCAAATATATAAGGTTAGAATATGAGGTGAAGGGCAACAAAATAATAAGTAAATCATAGAAGTAATAGGAATTAAAAATAAAAAGAGAGAGAGACTTGACAATGGTCCAGGCTGGACAATAACGTTGTCACTTCCTTTATTTTAAGGTGTGATTGGGGTTGGAGGTTTGAGAATGGGAAGTGATCAGCCATGCATTCACTCTTCATAGAATTAGTAACTGCATTGTTATGAACTGGAAGTGCATGCATAGAAGTGCATTCTCCTTGCCTCAAGGTTCACAAAGCTTTTTTATATTTGCTCTCCCCGTACACTTTTGGTGCAGGCCTAGTCTTATGTATAAGGTTCTAGGTCTTTTGTCATTATGAAATTTAACATCCTTATATTGTATACCTGACCCCTTGAGATTTTGAGTTGTTTTTGGTTAGGGAAACTTTTTGTTAATACATTTATAGCAAAGTTCAGGACAACTAGTAGTTCATTCCATTTGAGCTTTATTAAGGCTAGTTTGTTGTACTCGGGTGTATCATTTCCTTTTCCAGGCAGGGGTGACAGATTTGAGTTGCCGAAAGTCACGAGATGAAGAACTAAATGTCACAAACTTTACAATAAAAGTAGCCAAATATTTTTTTCCCGATTGATTCGCTATTTAGAATAAACAGCCCAGCTTATTTTAATTTTAACTGTAGCCGAAAAAGTAGTAAGTAGCGACATACATAGATGGCTTTTTAATTGAATACAATTATCCTAATTGGTAAATGAATTGGGCTACAAGTAGCCCAATCTGGCATCCCTGCTTCCAGGTTGCTTTTTTATGGCATTGTTTGGTGCTTTTAAAACATATACCTTCTGATACACTCTTTCTGAACTATTCGCCTATCCTCGCTTGCACAGAGGCTGCACAGGTTTGTTAAGGTGAGTCAGTTTCAGGCATATTCTTCTGTACATGTTTTGTAAAATTTGTCCCATATAAAGCATGCCTTTCTTCCATTTTCTGCTCTGAGATCAGAGTTGTGGGTTTCTGAAAGATAAACAGTATATATTTGCAGTGTTGCCTTCCAAAAATTTCCTTCCAGGGGCTACTTTGGGTGGGTTGTCTAAACACTGAGCATGCTCTCTGCTGGCATCTGTATTAGTGCCTTCACTTCCTGGTTCATCTGTTATGAGTGTGGTATTCTTCTTCATTCAGCATCCATTGGGTGACTTTCTGCAGTATTATTGGGAGCTGCCAAATGTGATAACTCAAAAATAAACATTTTGAGTGAATGTGAATAGCATCTTTCTGAGTAGACTCATTCAGCTGCTCCTTCCCATGTTGCCTTACTTTTCCAGTGGGCAGAGTCAGTTCATTACACCAGGAAGCGTGTGGTTTGTTTCAGATCAGAGAACCCAGAAGTAAGTTTAGTGTTACCACCGTATGGCAGTTAGCGAGACCCATTCTTTGGTGGTCACTATGAGGATAAGGGAGGGTTTCAAAGGGATTCTAAGTTTTTATTAATAGATCTGTCATTCTGAACTAGCCTGAATGTTCTCTATTGACTCCCTAGCTCCTATAAGAACCCTGCACAGACTGCTTGAAAAAGTTATTGTAGCATCAATGCCAATTACGTTGTCCTGCTTGACTACTTGATTCTATCCTATAGGCACATGATACATCTTTCCTTAGGGAGTTGCCAAATTATTCTACTAAGAAAGACTTTCATGTTCACTTTAACCCTAAACTTTGTATTGAGTGATTGTAAAACAAAATAGTTTGCCACCATGATTATTTGAACATACTCCAAATATATACAGATCCCAGAGTGTAAACAAAATTTCTTTCCTTTTCTTTCAGTTTGTCAGAACATACAGAAGTTTGAATATAAAAACTGGAGAATATGTTAGACTGCAAGCAACAGCAGGTTCAGGCTGTCATCAGTTTAACTGATGCAGACAGGATTTTATTTAAACTAGAATATTGTAAACGTTTTTAACCCTTTTCAAAAGCTTTGACTTTCTGAATCTTTATATTTCTTGTATTGAAAACAAAAAGCTAACATATCTGTAGTGTTCCTACATTATAACAAAATATATTTTTAGTGTTTGTAAGCATCAGAAATAAATAATTTTATATATGGAATAAGTAGCATGAAATGCTTTAATTTATTTTTAATTTCTGTTTTGCTCTCGTGCATAAACATTGCAATTTTCCCGGTGAATTCTGAGGTACTGTATATAAAATAAAACTTCATTTTATTACTGAATTATAGTAAATGTTCTTCTCTAATTCATTTAAGTTTGCAGGATTTGTTTTTCAATTTCTGGGAATTTATTTGGCCCTGTATCTTTGCTGAGTGATTTTAGCTTAACCCTTAAACTGCTAAGTTATCTAAAGTCCTACATCTTGATAAGCATTGGATAAAAGAAGTATTGAAAACTTTTGAAAATCAGTTGAAACTGGTAATTTGATTACACGAGGAAGTGGTAGGTAGTATTTGGAGCAGTGTAAGAGTTAAGTGGCCACTGTCTTTCTTTAGTATACAAGTTGAATATATAAGTTTACCTAAGTTTTAATTTTAATACTGTTTTCTTGGCAGAGTCTTTGCATCTTTTTTTCTCTTTTGACATGTTTATTTACTCAACTATAAGGAACCCAACTTAGGCTGAACTAGGTAGATTTGTATAACCCAAGGAGTAAAAACTGGATTTATTTATTACTAGCATTGAACTAGTTTGTGCTGAATTGTGGATGAAACGTTATTATTTCTGGTCTTCACATACAGAAAACATTGGCATCTCTATAGAAGTAAGAGCAATGTCAGTCAAGGTGTGGCAATTTCAGCATGTTCATTGGCAAGAGCAAGGATGGAGGCTGGCTGTTTTACTTGGTATTGCAGCTCATCATTAATGATCCTTTGAGGGAATAATCTTATTCTTTAAAGAGCTTGGGTGCTTTAGCAAGTTGTGGGATGGAATAACTATTTATTCTAGATTTTGAATTATTTTTAAAATATATTTAGCTTTATGATATGCTGTTAGCAAAGCATTTCTTAATGGTTTTGATCATATAAGTACTGTAAATTTAAAAAATTCAGTATCTTTCAATAGGTGTTTGTTTATGTTAGAATTATCCCATTATTAAAAGTGCCCACAACATTTATATCAATTTTGTTACATTAATTCAGAGTGATGTGTGAAGGTGAAAAAAAGTTGTTAATCTTAAGAAATGTTTTCCAAAATGAGTCACCCAGAAAGACACACTAATAGTTCCCCCATAACCTTGTTTTCCGGATTTCTAGGATGTCGCAGTGCTGAAGTAATGGTAGCAAGAGTTATCAAAACTCTGTTTCATTGTATGCATGGTAGTGGGTTTCAGTCTTTCCTCTGGTAATGAGACATCTATATTTGGTTTTTTATTCTTTCATTTAAAAGTTTCTAGGCCAAGTTGTGTGCTTTCAAGAAAATATTCGAGTTGAGGCACCCTCTCTCGCTGAACAGAGCAGTTTAATTTAAAAAGAATTCTTTATTTAAAAAATGCCTGGTATACAAATTATTTTTACATTTTATCTGGTAGTGAGATATTTGAAAGACATCATTCAGTGTTTTCCAGATACATTAGTAAACAAAAATTCAGAGTACTATAGGCACTTTTTCGGTATGCAAAGTGTGTTAAAAATGCATGTGCCATGTGCACTAACTGGTATTCAAACAATTCTAGTCATGCCTAATACTCTGCTTCCATTAATTCTTAAAGTCAACCTACTGTATTTAATTATCCTAAGTCTAGATTTTCATAATTTCTTCAGACTATCATGTCGAGTTATATATGACATCATTATGGAATACTAAGTGATTATTTCTGTAATTATTTGGATAAGATTATATTTAATATCTATATTGCACTGAATCTTAGTTTATTATCCATGTCGTATAAAAATCCTAAGCAATTCTATTAAAAAAAACTACATTTTCAAATTTAATGTTTTTTAAGGTATCTTTCGCAGATTATTCTTTTATGACTTGCTTCCTACTTCAAGCTTAATGTTGCTTTAGCCAGATATGCATGTAGAGTTATTTTCAAAAATTTCAGGTACGCCTTTATTTCTTCGGAACACATGATGGTATTTATAATGCATTCATGATGAAGGTTCTCTATAAGTTGGTACCCCATATAAAATTGAGTTATCATAAATATACATAAAAATACTGTATAGAGAAAATTATTATTATGATTTAATTTTTCAAGAAGTTATGTTGATATTTCTGGGGGAAGCCCCTTTGGCTCCCCGGAGCTAACCCAGGCTGATATAAATGTATTAGACCCTGGCATCAGTCAATGCACATGGAGTTCTAGGCCTACCAGGGACCACGAGGCAGAACCTGGCCCCCTCAGAGAGGCACGAGGAGCAATGGCCTATAGAAACCCCCGTGTGGTTGGAAGCATTCTATGTCTGCCATCGACTGGGTCAGGCACCCAGAAAGGTAAGTGCCCCAAAACAAACCCCTATTCTGGTTAAAATATTGCTACTGAAAGCCGAACTAGTGGACAGAACTCCCCAAATGAAAACAAGCAAACAAGCATGACGTCACCATGTCGCCACGCCGCTGTCTGCGCACCCCCCCCCCCCCCCCAGGAGGGGGAAGGGGGAGCCCCAGACCGTCGTACCAGCTACCCACCCCCCAGTTCTGTGGCTGATGTGAAACTGGCAAGGTCGTGTGCCTCTGGTTCCTGAGTTTTCCAGTTCTGTGCCTTGTGTGGTTCTGTCTGATAGGTGGTGCGCAAGCCAGGAGTAATTTCACAAGTGCTTGGGCTGCATGCGCCTAGGGTCACCTTCCCTAGGTGCCCTGTAAGTACTGCCCTTGTTCATGCCGCCTACCACAAGTCATCTTGGGGTTTACCTCCACTGGGTCTTTTACTGCTCAGTGATTGGCTGCCCTTTGGAGTCAACTGGGGAGTTTCATACACCTCTGTTTGCTTTTGGGTAGGGGGTAGTTTTTGTCACTGGTTGGGGCACAGAGTACTGTGCAGCTAGTTTTCACCTCTCATAGCAGACGACTTTGTTCCCACTTGGGCACATTATCCTCTTGTGGGGTTTTATTTTACTTTTTGTTTTCCTGCCTGGTGGAGGGTTTGCCCTTTGGTTTGGTTACACCCTTTTGTATTTTGGCGGTCCTCCATTAGGCCCCCCGTGATTGTCCACGTCCCGGGGGTTCAGCTTTAGCAGTTTGCTTGGTAATTTTTGGGTGCCAGTTATCAGTACCCTGTTTGGGCTTCCCTTAGCGAGATAATGCAACTAAGGGCCCTGGGAAACCCTGTGGGGGCTCTTTGATTTGATGGATGCGATGCCTGGGTCCCCTCTCACTTCGTGTGAGCTTAAAGGTTGCTCTGTCCCCTTGTCTTGGAGTGACACTCACCGGTTGTGCCTTCGTCATGCTGCCTGTTGGGTCAGTGACACTTTCGACACAGAGTCTTGCGGGTTTTGTTCCTTGTTTGTACTGTACTTCAATTCACCCAGTCTACTGGTCATGATATGCGGGTGCATGCAGCTTCGGCATTGCATGCTCAGTTTAGGTTGATGCAAAGAGCTAGGTTAGTTGCTACCACAGATGCCTCAAGACTGCCCCGTTTTTAGTTATAGGGACCCGGACTTGGGGGTGTTAGTCACTATGACTTTGGTTTTGTCCGCCCCCCTTGTCCCCCCCTGTTGTTTGTCCTGGTCCTTCCCTTCCTGGCTCTGAAGCATCTGAGGGTTTCGGAGTTGGGACAGGGTTTAGTTGGTGTTGAGACTCGGGCAGTTTCGGGGGATGCCCCTTCCGGTGTGGCAACGGAGGCATTCGAGCCTGGTCCTCCAGCCAAATGCTTCTGGGTCTGACCAGTGGGCCTCCTTTGTTCCTGCCTTTTTGACAGCTCCTGCCTTTTCTTTTGAGGAGGGGGTTTGGAGGATGTGCTAAGCTCCGGGTCCTCATGGGGAGGTTCTCAGGGCAGAGGAGGGGTTGACTTGGGGGCCTTGGGCCCCATTGGACTCTGCTTGAGTATTTGTACCCTCTGAGCGGATCTTGGTGTTACAAGGAGTGGTTTTTGTTTTTTTTCCATTCCTCGAACGAGTTGGATTTGGCATCTACCCCTCCCCGAGTTCGGTTCACTGCTCCTGGGGATTTTTCGGTTCCGTCTTTCCGGAGGTTTTTGGCCTCTCGCATCCCGCCTCATGTGGTGTGGGAGGCCCTTGTGGCTTACCTCCTGCATGACCCGGATTGTGCCTTCATAATGGATCCTTCTTCCTTCTTGTACGGATCATCATTTCCTTACTGGATTTGTTCTGAGATTCCGGAGTCATCCTGGCTTGCGGACTGCCCCTTTTTCTTGTTAGAGGCGTGGCATTCGTTCTGTCATTCCCGCGTTCTTGAGAGGCACGAGACTTATACAGTGGTCCAGGTTTTCCTGGGGGGCAAGTTTGAGCACCTCAGTGCATGCTTGTTCGCCCCTGCCCTTCCTCGGGATGTTGGTGTTGTGCAGCTTCATGTGCAGGTTCCCTCCCTTTCGGCTGCGATGGTCACTGAAGACCTGCGTGCCCGTGGCCTGTTGGCTTCAGTCTTGCAGTTCTTTTCCCTTCTCGAGCTGTCCTCGGACTGACTTGAGGAGGACATGGAGGTGCTTGGGGCCGCTCCTGGGTCTGGTGTGTTGACCTCAGTGGTGTGTGCGTCATCTGCTCTTTTGAAGCTGTTCACGCCAATCCTGTGGGATGAGGTGTCGCTGTTTTTTGCTTCCCGTCTTGCGTGTAGGCAGACGGTGCTTGCTTCTTCTGTGGAATCTACTTAGGCCCTGGCTCTTAGGATTTCTTCGCCTTTTTGCCCATTGCTGTATGTAGAGCAACGTTTGTTCTGCAGTTGTGCAGTATCTGCAGGCAGCTTCTTTCTAGTTGCTGTCCCAGGTCGGACTTGTTGGTTCTCCGAGGGGCCCGTGGGAGGTCTTCCCAAAGGGTCAGGCCAGGGGCTCGGGATTCCTCCTGCCATGGTAAGTCAGTGCCAGCTTTGGAGCTGGTGCAGCCTTCGGAACCATCATCGTCTTGTTGGCGCGGTGAACGCTCTGTGCAGAGACTAGGTTCGCGTAAGAGGCGTCGGTCCTTTTGCGGTTCGTCCCTTTGATGGGGGGAGGCTCACGCTCTTTGGTCACACCTGGTCCCACGATTTGTGGGCTTTTTGGTTCATTTCATGAGGCCTGGGGTGGCCCCTCCTCCTTCGGGAGGATCGGGTTTAGCGGGGCAGGCCTCTTCTCTTGCGCTCTGTTGGGTCATCTTAAAGTGGGGTGGTCAACAAGATCATCGATCATGCTTGCCTGAGCCTGGTCTAAACGACCTCGTCCCTCTGGTGGGTTTCTCACCTGTTTCTGGTTCTGAAACGGGACTGCGCGGACCTCAGGTTCATTCTGGACTTGTCCCGTCTGAACCCGTGAGTTTATCGCCACTCCTTTCGGATGACTACTGTACTCTGTCCCAGGTCCGTCTTGTTTTGGAGCCGGGCACTTGGATGGTGTCCCTGGACCTCAAGGATGCATATTGGCACGTCCCTGATTCATCCATGGTTCAGGGACTGGCTCTGTTTTATTGTGGGGCATCAGGGTTACCGCTTTCGCTGCCTTCCATTCGACTTGAATTTGGCCCCTCGCGTTTTCACACGCCTTACCCAGGTTGTGGTGGCCCGTTTGCGTCTTTTAGGGATTCGGGTTCTGGCCTACCTTGACGACTGGCTGGAGTATACTCCCAGTCGGTCTGCATGTCTGCTTGCCATGGAGTTGGTTCTTTCCTAACTCACTGGGTTCGGGTTCCTGGTGAATTTGAGGAAGTCCCATCTGGTTCCCTCTCAGGTTCAGTCTTGGCCGAGTCTTGTGTGGAACTCTCGGACCACTTCCTTGTCTCTCCCTTCGGAGGCTCTGCTTCGGCTGCGGTCCCGCCTTTGCCTTTTTCTGCGGGCTCCCAGATCACGTGGAGATTGCTCAAGGGTTTGTGCGGGAGCCTGAAGTTTGCCATGAAGGTCTACCCGCCGGGTTGGGTTTGGCTTTATCGGCTGTTCTGGTTCCTTTGGGGACAGCCATTCCGCCTCTCTCGCGACCGCTGGCTTAGGCCTCCAGGAACTGTGCATCGATTGCTGCATCGCTGGCTTCCTCTTCAGGTTTTTCGGGGTTCGGTGCCTTGGCACCTACCCGAGCCCACACTCGATGTGTTCACAGACGCATCATCTCTTGGCTGGGGCTTTGTAACCAGTGCTCACCAGACCAACCAGGGTAGGTGGGGTCCTTCCTTCCGTCGGGTTCACAGCACGGTGCTGAAGTTCAAGGCTGTCTGAATATCGTTTCGGAGGTTTCGGGTCCCTTGCGGATCAATGATCCGGCTCTACTTCAGACTGATCCCTGGTGGTTCATTGCCTGAACCGCGGGGGTTCGATGCGGTCCTTGGCTCTTTAGGACTGGTCGCTTCAGGTGACTCATCTGCTGAGTTCTTAGGGTTTAGCCCTCCTGGCCATAGACGTACGGGGGGTGTCCAACGTCCTGGCGGACGGCTTGTCTCGGTTCATTCACCTGTCCATGGAATAAACGGTTGACGCCGACTTATTCAGTTGGCTCTGCCAGACGTACGGGCTCCCGGAGGTGGACTTCTCATCGGCATAGACGAGGCGTCTCCAGGTATATGTGGCGCCCTTCCCCGATTGCGAGGCCATCGGGGTCAATGCTTTCAGACAGGAATGGTTGAAGTGGGGTTACCTTTACCTATTCCGCCCCCCCCCCCCCCTCGGTTCTGCTGTTGCTCCAGGTCCTAGCTCACTTGGAGACTTGCCATGGGAGAGTAGTCCTTCTGGCTCCTTGATGGCCGGCCCAGCCTTGGTTTCAGGCGCTGCTTACTCAGTGTCCAAATCCTGGGTTCTTCCCGCAGCTCTGCCTCTTTCAGTAGATCGGGCCAGTCCGTTACGTGGCTGGTTCAATCTTCTCAAGTATTCCCATCTGGTCTTTCTGACGCTGGTCTATCACCACTTGTATGGTGAGCAGGTGGCTTCATTGATGGTGTCCCACCTGCGTGCTTCGTCTTGGTGGCAGTATGAAGTTTGCTGGCTGTCCTTCCGTTATTTCTTATTCCTTTGTAGGTTTACTTCAATCTCTGATAGGGTTGTCTTGTCCTTCCTTCCAGGAAAGAGGGGGTTTGCGCACACAGCGGTAACGTGATGACACCGTGCTTGTTTGCTCATTTTCATTTGGGGAGTTCTGT